ACCGGAGACCCCTTTTACTGGAAACGAGGCATTCCGTTTTAGCGATCAGTGGTGACAACGTATCTGTATTTTGAATCTTAATCGAGGATAAATGTGGATGTCTATGAGTTTCAGCATAGCATCAGGTGAACTATGTGCTCGTTTGTCGCCCATATTCTATAAAAATATTTAAACCGTCTCGTGTTATCAAAGGTGCAATGCGTCTTGTACTGCTATTGCCAGTGTGCCTGCTTGGTGATTATAGTCGGAGGGGCTACCCGACCTTGTGCGTGGGTGCTGACTCATGTACACCCTCAATACTAAATCGTATTGAATTATGGGCCATGATAAAACTTTTGTCGATTTTTATCGCCACCTCTTGGACTACGTGGGATACTCGATAAGTTTTGAGATATACAAAAAGTATTCTAGATACTATTAATATTTATTTTACATCTTTTCAAATTATTCTCCATCATGCTAAATACAAAGTTCTATTCGCGTAAACCAACTCTGAAAACAGTTTTGCCAGTCTTGATCTGACAGGTCGGAAATTGCATCTTCGTAGGCAGCCTCGGCTCCTTCGGCGCGGCGCTTGGAAAAAAATGTCTTTTATTTTTTCTTTGACTCTTGGAAATAAAAAGAAATTACAAGGAGCTACGTCAGGGCTGTAGGGTGGGTGACTTAGAGTTTCAACACCAGATTCCTCAATAAATGCTTTTGTTCTAAAGGAGGTATGCGAAGAGGCGTAATCGTGATGCAGGATGATTCCCTGAGGTCCGGTCTTTAGTCTTCTCTCCCACATAGCTTGAAAAGCTTTGGGTAATGCAATATTAGTATACCAATCAGAGTTTACTGACCTACAATTTTCCAGCATTGACGTCGATAAACGTCCGCTCCGCGAAAAAAACTAGCCACCATTTTTTTGTTGACGTTGCGAGTTCTTTGCAGCTTTGTCGATAATTGTCCTTCTGAGTAGACCCATACCGATGATTATCTTTTATTTTCCGGATCATATTGATAGATCCATGTCTCGTCACCAGTTACATGGTACCAATCCACACGAGTCTGTTTTTCGCTTTCGGAGAGCAAACGAGGGATCCATCGACAACAAAGCTTCCTCACTCCAAAATGTTGATGCAGGATGGCATGAATGCTTCCCGAACTAATGCTTACAATCTTTTCGATGTCCGTATATGTGATTCGTGGGTTTACTGCTGTTTGCGGAGCCCCGGTTCTTTGGTCATCTTTAAGGTTAATTTTACCCCTTTTGAATTCAGCAAACCACCTAAAAATTGTTGTGCGTGATGGAGCCGAGTCTCCTAATACTGATTGTAGCCGTTGTAAATTTAACTGTACAATTAAACCAAATTTAAAATCATAATAGATCATAGCGCGGTAATGTTCACGGCAATGATCCATCGTTTTAAATGAAAAGCGCGGGAAGTGTTGCAGGAAATTTAATAGAACTTGGTTTTTATTTTTCAATATTAAGCAATTGACTTATCGAGCTCTATTTTTAAATAAATTTGCTTTTTAGAAACATATAACACGGGTGCGTTTCATTTTTAAATTTTGAGCATCTCAAAACTTATTGAGTGACCTACGTATTATGGCAGACCCTTTAAACAATGGGAGAGATTTATATTTAGAAGTGGATAGTGATTTCTTATATTTACGCGAACACTATACATTGATTAAAACTACTTTTACGGATTTTATCGCGTTTTATTTATTTTTGATACCCGACGTTTCGGGTGCTTTCCATCACCCATGGTCACGGGGGACTGAGGTGACTGACGTCCCGATGTCAAAGTTAACCCGGAGTACCTTCAGCTTTTTAATCATTGTCTTTGGTCCGATCTACGCAGAATGAACTAACTGTGTTTTGAAATCTTGCAGTGGTATGCTTGGGTTTAGTTTTAATTTTATTAATTATAAGATCCTAAGCAGGTGGTAGTACCCAGCCTCCTTCTCTATTGAAATTAGGATGTTTTTTAATTTCAATAGCCTCACGTATCATCCTTGGTAGGAATCGATGTTCTTTCGCGAGGATTTGTGGTCTATCAAATCTGATGTAATGGTTGGGGCCATCTAGGATATGATCGCAAACTGCAGACTTCCCGGAACGTTGATTGACTTTTGACTTTGACTTGACTAATTGATCTCTTTGTTTGCCCTATATATGAGAGACCACAATCACAATCAAGCTTGTACACTCCTGCATCTTGTAGAGGAATGTGACACTTGACGGATGGTAAGAACTGACTAACATTCTTCGGCGGCTTGTAGAATGTTCTAATAGAAGCTCGCTTCAAGATGTAGCCAATCTTGTCTGTGACACCTCTGACATATGGTAATTAAAATAATAAAGGTATTTTTTGTATCCTTTATTTGTTTTCGGAATCTAGTTACATCGAATTATCGGTTACATGCGCTATCAAATTTTGAAATATTGAGTATATTGGTACGCACAGGGATCTAAATTTCTAACAGTTTGATTATTTATCTATTTTACATTATTTTAAGTTGTTGTTGAACGATATGTGATTACGTAACTTTCTAAATAGACAGTTTCCATGGCTATGAACACGTACAACTTTGAAAGCGCTAACAGTACAATGTCATACACTTCACATGAATAATATTACGTTCAATATAAGTTAAATAAAAGTCTTTGAAATTTAAATTATATCTTCTAACAACAAATATCAATAACTAGAATTATAAACTTTTTTATTTTTAAATCCTTTCAGGACCAAGTCAAATATATTACAGAACATTAATAAAATTTTAAAATATAAGTATTTAATATGTTAATAGGTATGTACACTAAACAACTTTACTATATACGTTCATCTTATATACTAATATTATTAGGAATATTGTAAAAATCAGATAATAATCATAGAAGTAGGTAAGTATCAAATTATAAAAAATATAATATAGTCATTTTTTTGTTTAGTCTAAAGTACTTATTGTGTCAAATTTGACGAAGGCATATAAGTTAAAGATCAGTTCGTTTTTTTTATAAAGAATAGATTTAGAAAGACATTTCAAATGATACAGTAAGTGTTTTATTTCGAAAAAATGGAACACATTAATTTGCATAAAAGTTTAGGAAGGCGCCATATTAAAGTAACATTTGTTATTTTCATGATACATTATTATAGAATTTACAATTGATTAAAATGTTCAACATTAAATGTAGTAAATATAATCATAACATTCCCACATCGAATTTTTGGTTTAAGTAATACGAGTGTGCACTGTTCTAATATTTTTTAGACACCAAAATTTCTATTTAGTATATTTTATGGATTAAGGTATATATTTCACTACACATATCAAATCATGTTCATTGTGGTTTTTAAACGTTTTTTAAATATTTTCAAATAGCTGTCCATTTTACAGAAAACTACGTTGCCTGCGATACATATCATAAAATACCTTTCCTACTTTTGCCCCGTTCCGGGGTTTCCAAGAAAATTACCAGCACCAACTATAAAGCCATCGTATGCGTAGTTTTCGGGACGAATCTCAGTCTTCCGACTGTTCACTATCCCGGCGTCAATCTCCCTTGTTTTCCTTGCGTGGCTGGCCCCGTCCTTTAGAGCCTTGGGCGCCTTGATTGCCTTGGGTGCGCAAATTGTCTTGACTACCAGAATTGCCGCGGCGGTTTTGATTGCCTGAATTTCCTGGGGCGCCTTGGTTAGTTAGGGGAGCCTCGATTGTCTGGATTTCTTAGTGATCCACGGGTGTCTTGATTAGTCAGTGAGTCTTGATTGCCTTGATTAATCTGAGGGTCTTGAATACCTTGATTACTTTGGGTGGCTCTATTATCTTGATTGCTCTGGGTGGATCTGTTGCCTAGATTACCCTGGATAGCTCTATTGTCTTGATTAAGTTGAGAGGATCGGATATTTTCATTAGTCTGGGATCTCTGGCTGCCTTGATCGTTTTGAGGACGTTGATTACCCTGATTGGCCTGTGGGCCTGGATCACTTTCGGTAAATTGTCTGTCTCCTCCAGTTTCTCCGCCGGTACCGCCGCTTTTGTTCCTATATTAAAAGTTTACGTTAATTTCTTTTTAGACTTATTGTGTTGTAAAATATTTCTAATGCATGCAAGTTTCTATTCATTCAAAGTGTGTTAGTGCTTTAATGATTCTTTATTCTTAAACAAGAAACTTTGAAGCTCCATTTCACTTTGTAACTAATTGAGCCACACAGTGTAATAATTTTAAGAAGTTTATGAGGTATATGTTGCTACTTTAGGAAATTAATCAACTTTTAATTTTAATTACTTGGCTCGAAATGTTTTGCAAAAAAATAATGAAAGCGCAAGTACCCATTTGTGATTCTAGATTCTTATTTAAGGTTTCAATTATAATAAATACTCGCTATGCTAGTCGTAGTATATGGTAACTACACAAATCGTACGGTGTGAGCTGCGATGATTAGATTATAATTTCTAAAAATTTGTACCTACTACATTTATTTTGGTACTTACATAATAAAATTACGCGTTAAATGTATTCAAATACAAATGTGCAAATGTGTAACTAATTTTATTTTAATTAAACTAGATAGTTGTATTTTGTCTGTTAATAAATAATTAGACATTAAATTGCAGCAAGCGTAACATTGACACAGTTTTCCAAATAAATACTAATAAAATAGTATCCATATACGAAAGCTCGTCATTATCATAAATACGATAGACAGCATAATATGGCATCATGCAAAGTTTGTTATATATAGTATAGTGCTTTATTATATGCAACATACACAAAAATGATGATTGTTTTTGTTTTTACAGATTTACAGGTCCATAATATATCCTTTAACACATTGTATTCTACTGATTCTACTTATCTGTGCAAGAAAAGACAGCGCTACAATCAAACACATACTGCTTACCAAATACTACAAGAAATAATATTATACAAACAGGACTACATATGACATATTATACAAAATATCTTGCCTTGCAAAGATCATCCTCCACGCTCTCGTCTGTCATCCATCAAATTTAGCCTGCCATCCACTTGTGCTGAAAAAGGAACTGACAAAAACTTAAACTTTAACATTTATCGATAAATCTCTTATGCATATTTAGATTTATTCATTTATTTACGCTTAATTTAAATGTTTGTATAAAAATGAGTGTGTAACTTCGAAATGGCGACTTTGAATTATTACATGGTAAATTATGAATATAAATAGGAAAAGCGCGCAGAAATTATATCTTCAAATTAAAATTACTGATGAATATGTTTTCATTTTAATAATATAAAGCAATAATATACACAGGAGAGTTAATTGAGTTAAGAAGTATCGTACAAAACTTAGAAGATCATAGATGTCATGCCTGATGAGTAAAATATAATATGTACCTCACCGCTTGAAAGTAGAATTTTGAGGATATCCGGCTGGCATTTAGTCTTTACAATCGTATTCCGGTTTTCCATATAGTACTTGACAGCAAAACAAATATTCATTTACTATACAATCTACTCGTATATCTACCACTGCTATGTATGTTTTTGTTTTCATGAATGTTTTGGTTTTTTCATTGAACTATTATGTAGTATGTACTAGAGGCGACACTATTCAGCTATTCTGTTCCACTCAACTGCGGTGCATACACCGCACTTTAATCAGTCACTCGCTAGGCGCTTGTAGAGTTGTGACGTGTTGTGTTGATTTAAAAAAAATCTCTTGATAAAAATATGCCGTCGTGTGTACTTAGATATTGCACAAATAATTCAAGAAATGTCAGTAAAACCAATATATTACTTTTCATCGGTTAATAAGATACTTAATCAATAAAAAAGTATTATAAATTATTAATAAAACAAATTATTCCTAAGACGCCATCTTGTGTTATATAATATAGATTATGAAATAAATTTGTGCAGATACGACATTTCTGTGGGTACTTAAGTATAGGACGAATATATTATTATACACTTTTTTTTTGTAGAAACATATATGAGTTATCATAATTAGGCCAATTTTTTATATTTAAATCTGCTCATTATTCTTTAAATTATTTTTAGGTTTCCACATCAAAGTCAAAACGGAATAAATTCGTCCATTTTGAACTCTCGCGTGCGCAGCATTTATGAACGACTCTTATTCTAATTTAAATAAATATATTTGTAATTTAAATTTTATATTAATAAGTTTTGTTAAACATACATTTAGCATATTTTTTTATATTTGACATAGATACCTTTTAAAATATTCAGATAAAAATATCACTAAAATGTAATTGTGATATAATATTATGTAATATTATATTAAATAAGCAAATATAATATACAAAATAAATGACAAAATTTGAAAATTGTTCTCGATATAATTTACCTATTTAACAATACAATCAAAAAAATATTCTTACCTACTGATCATTCTACCTGTGTTTATTCTATGATAATAAAACCAACCTCGCGAACACAGAGTAGCGCACATGTTTTGTTTGAAATAACTGTTCTAGTACTAGACCGGAAGCTGGTGACAGGTGACGTTTCACGATTTTGTCGTGCATGCCTTTTTAAGGCTTGATAACTAACCCTAAAATATCAAAGATTGTCGGGGCTTTAGCCACCCCCCCCCCGTGCGTCCTCTTCATAGGGAAAAGCGCTTTTCTTTGTGTAGCGAATTTTCGTGTTTTTCTGAGATCGTATACTACATGCCATTGTAATATACGGAAGTTCAAGCAAATTGAAGCTCTAATAATTGATGACATGCACCCCGCAGCGGCCCAAGATGATCAAAGGGTCCTGAAAACCTGAAAAAAATTAAAGGGCAATTCCGTATTTTCAAATTGCATGCTGATGTAAAGAATGGAAGTTTTTGTAATAAAAATACTCTGGAAAAATTGGCATGCACCCCTCGTATGACCATAGCATGCAGTTTCGAATCACAGAAAATCGGAGTTCAATTTTTACAGAGTTTTCCGGAAATTTTCCACCGTTGGTCATACGAGGGGTGCATGCCAATTTTTCCAGAGTGTTTTTATTACAAAAACTTCCATTGTTTACATCGGCACGCAATTTGAAAACACGGAATTGTCCTTTAATTTTTTTTCAGGTTTTCAGAACCCTTTGATCATCTTGGGCCGCTGCGGGGTGCATGCCATCAATTATTAGAGCTTCAATTTTCTTGAACTTCCGTATATTACAATGGCATGCAGTATACTATCACGGAAAAACATGAAAATTCGCTACAAAAAGAAAAGAGCTTTTCCTTATGAAGAGGGCGCGCGGGGGGGGGGGGGTTAAAGCCCCGACAATCTTTGATATTTTAGGGTTAGTTATCAAGCTTTAAAAAGGCATGCACGACAAAATCGTGGAACGTCACCTGTCACCAGCTCCCGGTCTATACTTACGTAAATACGTATTACTTCAATGGGTTTTTTCGATAAATTATTTTAAAACTATTTTTTAGAATGAAGATTGACCTATATCGTGCGCAGGTCAACAAATTATTAAGTCTCAGTGCGCACGTTTTTTAAAAAAAATACTTCTTGAATAATGAAAATAATTATTTTATAAAAACCACTAAGCTTGGTTTGCACAGCAGCACAGCAAGTTTGAAAATTATGGAAACAATCTTAATAAACGATCGCTCTTCGCTCCCCCCATACTTATTCCTAATTAAAATCATTAAATTCCATCTTGACCTTGAATGAACTGAACAAATACGGTTCAATAATCGTTAGAGAGGAAAGAGTATGAGACTAAGACAAATGAAATCGACGAAGTACTGAATAATGAATTATATATAATTGTGCTTAATATCCCTCTATAAAATGTCTTTATAAGTAATAGATAAAGATAACGCTATTAATCTACACTTTTCGTAATTTTCCGTAATTTAATGGCAGCCATCTTTGTATGTACAATTGATTTTTCTGTTAATTCAGTCTTCGCATACATGGATGAACTCTATAAAAGATTTTATTACAATCTAAGCTTGCAAGAATTAAAACTCTCTAATAATAATAGATAAATTAGTTCAGTGGTTTCATAGAATAAAATAGTTTTTCCGTTTTGAAATATTATTGAGACTAAAGTTAATGACTGCCATTAAAGCCTTCTATTGTTTTATGTGAAAGATTTACATTATTCATAGTAAAAAAATAGCTACCTGCATTTTCCGATCTTGCCTCCCGTCGCCTTTTCCGGGCCCGTAGCAGCAACTGGACTCGGATTTCCACTCTGTGAACGACGCCATAACAAATATTTAAGCAATTTAATGAGTAATATAAGTGTTTTCAAATTCATTATTTCATTTAATCAGGGCGTCTTTAGTAAGCTCTTTGTTATAGTAACAAATATGATGGAAATTCCTCTTATACTACAACTTGCGGAGACAGCGTAGAAGTTACTGCCTACTCCACCCCAAGCAGTGAGTATTGAACGACAGATGGCAGCGACGCGACGCGACGGCGCGACGCGCATGCTTTTTTGATTCATGTTTGAAAAACTTTGAAAATGAATAAACTACCAGTAAACTACGGATGTCAAAAAATCATCACAAACGAATGTCGTAACGAAATGATTAAGATATAAATCGTAATAAATAAAAAGATTTATTAAGCATCCATGTTTGAGAAATAATAAAATTTCGAGAATACCTAATTCAGCTCATTCTTCCTCTATGTATATAAAAATATTGATAATATAAACCTATGGCCGAGGAAAACGTCGCATTGTAGTTCTAGGCAAAAAATTGTAATTAAATCACTAATACAAGTCGATTTCTTACAAGTCTATTTTCATTGTTTTGCTGTCAGTACATCTCAAATTGAATAAGTTTGAGATGTTTTAGTCCGCAATTTGGGGCCCCCATAAAATTGCTTAATATTTTATGAGACCCCCAGGGGTCTCATAAAAGATTATGGCATTTTTAATTGGGATATTTTAACCAAAAAATGCAGCACGTTCTGTTCGTTCTGCTAAAGTTAGTGCGATAAATATATGACAAAAATACTTATGTAGTAATTTAATTTTTTGTTTGTCCTGTTATATTATAATGTGTTATGTATATTATAATGCACATTATTATTATTATATTTGCTTAACATAAGCTTTTTCCATACATTGCCATAAACTTCGGTCCTTAGCCACATATATCTATCGACTACCTGCATGTTTCACTGGGTCTTCACTCCATCGAATGGGTGATCGTTCAACATTTCGCTTGCCAGTACGAAGCTACCACTTGATAATCTTTCTTCACCAACAAGAGTAACTGACATAGTCCAGCGGAATAGTATGCTGAAGAGGAAAAGGTCGGCCAAAGAAGCAAAGAGTCATTGCACATTTGTTCATAAACCATAATATAATTTTATTTGTCATTATCTAATCTAATTATTTATTAAAATACCTTCCCAGGTAAGGCCTTAGCGCGTGTCGTTAGCGTAAATATACGCTATTTAGTTCAAGAACATAGAATCGAAGTGTCGGAAAACATGATACGATAATAATCGTCTTACACAAATATTTTATAACTCTTATGTGTATAGCTGAAGGTTTTCTCACGATGTTTTCCTTTACAGTTGAACAATGTGGTAAATTAGCAAAATGAAGTTTGTAGAAAACAGCAGCTTTTATTACGCATATGTATGTTTAATATTTATTTATATTCCTACCTATACCTATATTCCTACCACGGGAGAGAGGCCCCCAGTCATGAAAATGGGTAATGTTCGCATTAGAGCAAGAGTAACTGACATATTCTAACACATCACTAAGTTGTAGTGGCGATATACCTAATATCACAGAATAAACTACGTACTGATGTTGCAGTCCTTTGATGCTGACTGCTTGCCGACGTTTAATAGCCTACATAATTATAATTACTTAGATAAATCGCATTCGCATGCGAAATAAAACTTTATCGCTGTGCGAGAGTGTCCGTATTTCTTTGCATCTTTTCCCCTTCTTACGTTACTGCGGACTTTCCGTTATTACTAAGGGATGACAATAAAGAGTAACAAAATACATTGCGAAATGTTAGTTACTTAGGTGAAATACCTATTCTGACTATGATCGACTGACCATATTTTCGCACCTATGTGAGTTCTGCGTTGTCTAACGCATGCAACTTGCAAAGACATTCGTCAGGAATCCTGATGGTTGGCTCGGAAGAAAAAGGTATATAAAGGTATAGGATAGTGTAAACAACAAATAAACTTGAAATACGATTCCTAACAGAAATGTAATCGTACTCTACTAAGTTAAAGATTTTGTTAGTAAACAAAATTTTAATTTCAGTGTTTTGTGTTATTATAACTTAAAATATGTTTAATACAAAAGACAAGTATAGGTATATAAGTAGCCACTTGGACAGTGGAGTAAATTTCAACTAAATTTTGTAATAAAGTTCGTAAGTCTTGGATAAATTATTACTTAACTCTTTTTTGCTATAAATACCTATCTAAAAATAAAAATTAAATAAATTCACGTTTCATAACTTCCTATTAAAATCCTTCGGTAACTTAAAGAATGATATATCTGAAACATTTTGTTGGTCATTTAGCGTCTATCCACGCAACAATTATAGTAGGAATGACGTTTTTCTATATATATATATATATATATATATATATATATATATATATATATATATATATATATATATATATATATAATTTTTAAATTACATTAAAACTTTTTAACTACTTTATCCCACAATTAAATATACTAAACACTAAACAAAAACTGTTTCAACAAGTATTTACAAAAAATTATTTACGTAAACAGCGTTAAAAAAACTTTGAAATTCAATCGCCTACAATGCGCTAGCCCCGACTGCGTATTTCACCTTAGGTGCGTAGCGATTTTAGGTAATTATTTCACGCAGGTAGCAATAGTGACAGAGGCCTGTTAATATATAGGTAGGCTGGAAAATACAAAAACGGATTGGGAAGAAAATGTCTCCAATGAGATTCCTCTAGTAGACGAGGTGACTCAGGACTGTGCTTTTTAGGAATCTCTAGGAAAGTCTGCATGGACTTGTAATGGTTTTTAATGGTGATGATAAATAAACTAAATAAGGCTAGCTTCATCTTAGCCCAAATTGATACTTATAATTGGTAAAGTACGTTTCGAGATAAAAATATTGTCAGGAGAAGAAAGAATCCAAAACTAGAGCCTTAGAAATTATAGTTTTGCAAACTTTTGGTTTATGTAAAGAGCATTACAGCTCATCTTAAGTCCACTGATGAACATAGTTTACCACAAAATACGTTTTGGAGCCATCGACATCAATCTTCTTCTTGCACGTTTCATTTGGTGATTTCTCCGTCTATAGGGTTTTGCCCAACACTGACTTTACTTGATTAAAAATAGTTTAACATCATCATTACAACCCTTCACAAGTCCACAACTGAACATATGTCTTCCCCAAAGAGGGCACATAGTACGATCCTGAGCCATCTCCATCCATCGACTACTTGCATGTCTTATCAATTCGCCACTCATCAGTTGTCGGTTATCCGAACTATATTGCCGACCCATTGCAACTTCAGCTTGCTAATCCGTTGGGCTACGTCGGTTAATCTGGTTCTACTGTGGATATCCTCTTATCCACATATATATAGTTTATCAAGCAGCGAAACCCCGAGCATAGCGCTCTCCATAGCTCGCTGAATGACCTTGAGTTTCCTCAAACGGCCAGCAGCGAAGGACCACGTCTCCGATCCATAAGTCATCACTGGCAAGGCGTACTGGTTTCACTGTCTCGTTTTCAAGTTTTAAGGTATAATCTAACGAGAAGATGTGTATCTCCCGAACTCTGCCCTGTCGAGTTGAATCCATCGATTGACCTCTCGGTTGAAGTTGGACTTTTTGTTTGTTTTTTTTTTTTTTTTCTCCTTCGTTGGTTTCTTCGGTTTTGCTCTTCGCTTATCCTATCCTTTCCATCCAGTTCTTGAAAATATCTTTCAAAGATGGTTTAGGGCAATCTGATAGGTTTCGTAGCCATCGTAGTTGCTGAACATAGGTCTCCCCCATAAACACTTCAGAACTTTCATATACCGAGAGTCAACTTGACACCGCTGAAGGTACTACAGTACCGCCCAAATTTCCACGGAATCGAAGGCTTTCTCATAGTCCACATACGCAAGACAACGTGGCAGTTTGTACTCTTCGGTCTTCTCTACAATTTGTGCAATGCAAGTAATCTGCGGAAATGCCGTGAAACAGAGGGGAGCAGTAAGGCTGAACCGTGCCGAGAGCGCTGTAGCTCTTGAAGGAGCAGGAAGCATCATTGTGCTGCGACGAACCTTGTAAAGCTAGAAGAAAGAAGCTAGGCTGGCAGGATCTGAAGACTGCAGCCAATATCTGCTCGGGAGTGAATAGATGGGATGTCGAAAGTTTGAAGTTGAGGTTTCAGAAGAGGTTGCATATTGCGTGTTATTCGTGTTCTATTACCATTATTTTCGATGTAAGTGTAATTTTATTGTGTATTAACATCATTAATAATATATTTTTGGTTAGGCGTTATTACGATTTGGACTTTAATTTATTTTCTTACACTTACACTCACCATTACACTACACACACCACACAAAATCATACATTTTCAATTTATAAGTTTACCATGTAGAGATAATATGAAAAAATAAATCATAAAATATCTATAAAGACTAAATTTTATGAAATACTAGCTGTGACCTGCGGCCTCGCCCGCATGGTCACTGGGAAACGAGCTATCCATTGCTTTTTGAATAGAAAGAAAACTGAGATGCAGCCATTAAAAGGAAACTGAGCAAAATTGATTCGTCAGCCTATTTAAATGTTTTGAAACGCAGCGTATAGGAAAGCATGAAAATAGACTGTTTATTCCAAATGGAAATGGGATATTTTTTATTAAAGGAAACTGAGCATAATTATCCATCAGGGATGCAGACTTTTGAAAAGAAACTGAGCTAAATTGATTCGTCAGAGATGCAGTTTTCTGAATTGAAAGGAAACTGAGCCAAATAAAAGATCCGTCAGAAATGCAGCCTTTAGAGTTGAAAGGAAACTGAGCTTAATAGGTCCGTCAGAGGTGCAGCATTTGGAATTGAAAAGAAACTGAGCTAAATAGGAAATTTTGAATTGAAAGGGAAGATCTGTGGGAATTCTGATTAATTGATTGTGGGAATTTTGGAAAAAAACTAACTGAACACTATTTTAAGACGCTACTGTACACAATGTTATATGTTTTT